AGGGTTGAGGAGTGTGCAGCAGCGTCAGTGAGTGTGAGGCAGATAAACAGAGTGGGGGGTGAGGAAACGTTCCTGGCACTCGACTGGAAACCATATCCCTGTGTGGACAGTGCCGCTGAGGAAGTGAGAGGGTCACGGCACCAAATACGATGTGCTGTTTCTCTCAGTCAGCATCCAGCAGGGGAATTAGCTCAAATGGTAGAGCGCTCGCTTAGCATGCGAGAGGTAGCGGGATCGATGCCCGCATTCTCCAAGAAACTCTTTAACTTTGGGAACCTGGATTTTACGATGACATCAAATCAAAAGATGACATTCTCATTAAACTATATAATAGGCTACATTTAGTCAAACTAAACTCACTAAATCCTCTCAGGAATCTCAACTCCATCATTCCCAAGTTTTCATTTGTGTCTTCAAAGATGGTGGAACAAGTTGCCAAATTTTGGTTGAAACAAACACTTCTTGTATAGTGGTATTCAAACAGATTTGCATACTTGTGGTAATGTTTACATACATGTACTGAAGCATGTATGGTATTTGTTCTTGCATGATAGTACTTAAACATCAGAAATCAATCCAGCGAGCCGATAGAGACTAAAGTGTTTGACCCACTTTAAAACTTCAAACCCTCTTGATACAAAGCCAGGGTTGCAACAGATTGTGAGTAAAACATGCTGAGACCGTCTCAAACTTCCAAAAAAGTTACAAAACAAAAACCTCCAGGCCTCAGTAAGTCATCGAGCGAGAAGATGATCTCTTCACTCACATCCAGGATTAAACATCAGGCGTAGAAGGTTCCTGGCAGAGTTGAGTTTATTAGTCTTTGTTGTCAGTGTGAAAAAGAATGTGTGGTGTGAAATGACCATTAATGGCAAAACCATTTTTGGACATTTTTAGATTATATTCTACAGTATTGTTGTAACATTGGGTTGTTATCAGCCAGATAAATGAAAAATGTGATTATCATTTGTCCGATAAGGTCAGATTTACTCGATGGATGTCAATGAAATGATTGTACAGGAAGGTGATGATTGTCAGCAGCACAAGGCACTTAGTCTGCTCATGTTTCTGATGGTCATTCGATCACAAGGAGATTTTTCTGTGATTAATCCTCAGAAGGGCTTGCAGGAAAAAAATCATCTTAGCATTTATTTTTATTCACAAGTTGTTGTTTTTTTATCTTCGTTTTTATTTAACAGTCATTTTACTAGACTTTAGAATTCTATCGGATAAAAATAGACCAAATAAAACCCATTATAAACACATTTCTTAATATAAATAATATTATAATATATAAATAAAGGCTGACAACGGCAGATTCTTCCAAAAACTCAGAACTACATTTTTTCATCAATTGAATTAATAAAAACAACGCATCATCGCCTTCTAGAAACGGTCTCTTTTGTCGACTAATAAATAAACAAAACTAAATAAACAAACAAAAAAATTGTGGAGTGTAGAAAAACTTATGGTTCTTAAGGAGCTAAGAAAAATCCTTACAATTTGGTATTTTTTTAGGTAATTAGCGGTACCAAATTGACATTTTAAACATTACCGCTAACGTTAGCTTCTGCATAAACGGGAACAACCACTGTAGTTTCAGCTTTTATTTTTGCTATTTTCTACATAGAACAATTCCAACAAAAATATATGTTTTATTTTATCATTTTCAAGCTTTTGAGTATAAGTCAACACCGCTGGGGTCTTGTCACACGTCAGCAAGAGTAATTAAAGATTTATTCTAAGCCAGTTATTTTTATATACAAATTATTATTAGTATTTAATGTTTATTTAATCCACTGACTTCGGATGTGTTAAAAATAATGTTCAATATTCCACCATCTGCCAGTGGGTTATAATGATGAGAATAAACATTATATAATTATGTTTAATTAAGCATAGGAGCAACTTTAAATCCTCTGCAAAACAAGTGGAAAGTATGTGATTACATAGGTGTCAATGGATTATTTATGTTTTTTTTATTGATGTTTTTATTTCTGTGCGTTCAAATATGGACCTCCAGRGTCCTGTGGACCCCTGTGTTGTATCCAGAGTGATTGTAACTGGAAACAGACCCACATATATAYCAAACATACATGCTGCAGCTTTCAGAAGCACCCTTTGACCTGCAGTGTTCTATAAACTGTTTCAGTGTAAATGTAGAAGCAAACCCCATCAATCCACCACAGATATAGCTGCAGTCATGTGCAGTTTGTGGATCAGGTTTTCCTCCAGTAAACATTTTAAATTGAACMCAGGAGAGCTTACCTTTAAACCTCAGGTAGAAAAACACTTTTTTTTTCAACCTAACCTCTGTACACATTTAGCACACGAGAGAGACTTCTGTTTGCTMCCACAACAAATGAATTTAGGAAATGACTCGATGAGCGACATTCTTTAAATTGAATAATAATAATCTCCACCACAAGGCCAGAATCTAATAAAATTTGCGTTGAACACTCGAGCCTGTTTTATTTTTGCTAATCTTGTTTGATACTTGACGAGCTCGACCTGACTGTGACCTTYTTATCGTTTGTTTAAAAAAGTAAACCTTGCATTTTCTTTCACTGCTTGGCTGCTTAATGCAAACATTTTTTATACTAAAAAAAACTTCACAGATAAGAGCTAATGTAGGYAGTTGCAGAAATAACTCAAGACGTCTTGTTTAATATGCATATTTAGACAGGCAAATAAAAAAACAACTGTTTTACTCCTCAGCTGATCGGGTTTATCACTGTTGGCCTCTAGGGGGCACYACTGTTCACAAACTCATCCACTTTATCGTCAAAAATGGAATTTAGTGGGATTTATTTTTTGCAACCTGTGAAGTTTACTATTTTCACAAGACAAAGACATTCTKTTTTTCTTAAAATAAAAACTAATTAATTGCTTTCAACGTCATCACTTAAAACTGACGCAAACTACTTTAAATACACCTTTAATTTTCCTCTTGTTGGTTTCAGCGACAGGTTTTATACTACACTTAATACATTTCTCCCCCCCTTCTCTTCTCATCTTCCTCAATAAAATCTCACCTCTCTATTCCTGCGCCCACACACAGGGAGTGGCTTGAAACACACGCACATAAAAGTTGTGAAATGCAGAAAGAGGGGGCTGTGGATCATGCAGCCTTTAAGTAAATGACTTCCTGCACCACAAGCAGCTTTTAAAGAAGACGATGTTGGAGGGACATCATTATTTAAGAAGGCTCCTTCATCTGCTCCAGACACTGTGAGTGGGCGATCAGACAGTTTGCAGAGACTTTAAACTAAGTGGATTTAGCAGCATTTTAAATAGATAAATAAATAGTGTGAGATTAAAAGATCTTAGTGTTACATCATCGTGCTTTTGCTCCTGAAACATAGATTCTAAAATCTTGTGGTAAATGTATCTTTTTTTTATCATTTTTACTGTTGACTTTTTGTCTTGTGATGTTTAAGTACCGGTATATCTTTTTGTGTGTAGTCCTGTGTGATTACTGCTCCCCTGGTGGAGAGTTATGTTCTGTTACGTTCTGCCTGTTCATCACAACTTTGACCAAATTCCTTTTCGGCACATAGAAACACAGATGATAATTGATTTTGTATATATATGTTTATTATTATTTCAACCATAACTTCTTCAGGATACTTTCAGCTTTTGAAATGTTCAGCTGGTTCAGAACATGATGGTTGAATTTTGTTTCCTGTAACTTTTACACCTTTTGATATATTTACCTTTATGTACATTTTTTCCCTTAGAAAATGCACTGAAAACTCTTSAGTCCCATGAAAGACTTCTATGAAACTGACTTCAAATTATTTGCTTCATTTTGAGTTTTTACTATTCTCTTTTGTTACATTGACCTTATTTACTGTTCTGTTCATTTTATCTGCTGTTTTGCTAATATCAGCTTTTAGTTTTGACTACTCTAAACATTGTTTTACACCAATGTGTTGCTTATTTTTAGCTTTTCTTCTGATTTTTTTGGTAACAATAGACCATTTTGTAGTTTTTATATGCATAGCAGAACCTAACTTTTCCGGGTCACAAGTCATTGGATTTAAACAAAGAGCTTTAGCTGGAAATGCATTGGAATTGAGCAAATTTAACAATCTCAAAAAACCTTTCTAACCTAAAGATGTTTATAAAAATTCTCATCTATGATCTTTAAAGGAACGTTTAAAACAGATCAGTTAATTCAAATAGAGCAGGTCCGTACAGTAAGGGGTCTCTGCAGTAGGTTTTGTCCTGTGGGCGGAGACGTCCCTGCTCGTGATTGGCGGAGGTCTTGATGTGGGCGGAGATGGCCCGAGACGTGATTGGTCAGATTGACGGTGCGGGGAGTAGCTTGATCAAGTCGGGCAGGAAGTAACATGCTTTTWAAGATTAATTTTAGTCATAACTTGAGAAAGGAAAGTGCTAGGTGCACAAAATTTGAATGTCATACATGTGAAAGGATGTGTAACAATATGGCTCGGTTAAAACACCCATAACCAGCCTGTAAAAAGACTACTGATTTTTAGCTATCTCTTTACAGGCCGGTTAGGGATGTTTTAACCGAGCCATATTGTTACACATCRTTTCACATGTACAACGTTCAAATTTTGTGCATCTACGTAGCACTTTCTTTTCTCAAGTTATGACTAAAATTAATCTTAAAAAAACATGTTACTACCTGCCCGACTCGACCAAGCTACAGCCCGCCATTGCTCCCCGCTGCCTCAAGCCTCAAACCCCACGGTCAATCYGACCAATCACGTCTCGGGCCATCTCCACCCACATCAAAACCTCGGCCAATGACGATTTGGGCCGTCTCCGCCCACAGGACAACACGTTCTGCAAAGACCCCTACTTGGGTCTTCTGTATAACGGCGTAAACTTACCGCTTTAATTTGTTTGGGTCCCAATGACATTCACTTTACAAGCGTGCAAAACGGCTGTAAACATTAGTGTCCCTGTCGCTGTTTTTTTTTTTACTATCTTTGGGTGTTGTTTAATTCTCCTTCTTTGTCCTGCAGAACGTGAAGATGCCTTATGTGTTCGACTCCCTCCCGTCGCAGACGGACATGTTTCCCACGACTGAAGTCTCCACGGAGTCTTACGTCTCCAGCAGCTTCGCGCCCTTCGTCACCAACACCAGCAGCTCCAACTGCACCTACAAGGAGAACTTCAAGCGGGTCCTGCTCCCGGCTGTGTACAGCGTCGTCTTCGTGCTCGGCGTCCCCCTGAACGCCGCCGTCATAGTGAAGATATGGAGGTCGAAGCGCAGTCTGTCTGTGAACGTCTACATGCTCAACTTGGCCATAGCGGACTTTCTGTACGTGATGTCACTTCCTTTACCCATCTACAACTACGCCAGTGCCGACTACTGGCCGTTTGGGGAGTTTGCCTGTAAACTGGTCAAGTTTCAGTTCTACAGGTGAGTTGTCTCTTCCAGTAGTGTCGGGTTCTGGCAGTTTAATAATAGCATGGTTTCACAAAATCACTGTTTTAAAATAAAATAATAAAGGAAGCTAATGTTTACAACTGAGCAAGGGACCTAAATGTTGAAAACTTGAACTAATACATCAAAACTTTTTTTCATTTTTATATTCCCTCTCTGCTGTTGAAATCTGTTTGACTGACGAGCCAACATCAGGGTGAAGAGACGACGCAGTTTGTTAGATCCTTTTACTTTTATTCTAATTAAACATTCCTATCTGTTCTCCTGTTTCAGTAATCTACACGGCAGCATCCTCTTCCTCACCTGCATCACCATGCAGCGCTACATGGGCATTTGCTATCCTTTCAGTGCGCGGTCCAACCACGGCGGCTGCAGGATGGCGTGGCGCATCTGTGCAGGGGTGTGGCTCGTGGTGGCCATCCTCTGCGCGCCGACGTTCCACTTTGCCACGACGGGAATCCAGCGCAACCGCACGGTGTGCTACGATTTAAGCATGCCGGGCCGCTCGGCCGATTACTTCCCCTACGGCATGGCTCTGACCGTCATCGGCTTCCTGCTGCCATTTCTGGGCGTGATCATGTGCTACTGCCGGATGGCCGTGGTCCTCTGTCAGAACACGTCCTCCCAGGGCGCCTCCAAGGTGTTGGCAGAGAAACGCGACAGGGCCGTGAAAATGATCATCATCGTAGCGGTTGTGTTCTGCATAAGCTTCCTGCCGTTTCACCTGACTAAAACCATTTACCTGGTGGTGCGCAGTCTGCCCGGCACACGCTGCGAAACTAGGAACTTGTTCTCCGTCATCTTTAAAAGCACACGGCCGTTTGCCAGCATGAACAGCATTCTGGACCCCATCCTGTTTTACTTCACTCGACCAAAGTACAGAGAGACCATCAGGAGGTCCATGCTCAGCGCCGCCACCTACAAAATGAAGAGTTCTAGTTGAGCAGAAAGGGTTTGCCGTACCRTTACAGTGTTACTGGATTGTTACTGAAACTGTCAGATTGATGTTCTGGTTTGTGAGTTGCTTTTCTTTGAACTGCTGTCAAATAAATAACACTCTCTGAGATGCAACATAAAAGCTGTAATCCTGTATAATTAATGATGAATTTAATAGTCCTCGCTGTAAACAGTTGTAGTTGGTAGTGTTGTGTAATACAGTGTAAAGTGCTGCCATTGCAACATGCTTTAACTTTCCCCTGGGGGGACAGGGTTTGGACTTTGAGCAGTCCCAGTAGCTGCCCTCAAAAATCTGCAAACTGGTTAAATAGTTGTTTTGATGCAGGAAATGTGGTGCTTTGAGCACTGTAAGACACGTATTATTACATGAGGGATTTAATACATTAAGTGCTAAAAGCACTTTCAACAGTAAAAAAAAAATCCAGTTTAAATTAAAAAAACTGTATTTTGTATTGTTTCAAATTGTGAGGCATGTAATAGCATATTTTTACCACTAGAGAGAGCTTGTGTTCCACTGCACTTTTTAGTTTTTGGTGCTCATTGTCAGTAGCATATATTTTTCTTTTGTTGCTGTGAAAGCTTAAACAAACACTTGCTCACAGATTTAATGTGACTATTTTTTTTGCTTAGAAACTATGATTTCATGCATCACAATGAAAACCTAAAAAACTGGAGCCAAATATATCAWATAAAGTATTTTAGTGTATTAAGTTTGAGACGAGTATACTACTTAATCCYGTAGTTTCACTGGATATAAATAATAAAATTGCATAGTTTTTTTTTTTTACATTTTCCCATTGATCTCCTCATAGTTTTGTAGATTTATTTTAAACCATTGGCTGAAGTTTGCAAGTTCAGTTTTTGCACCAAATAGTGTGTTTTGTAAAACAGTATATGTGAATGTGTAATGTTTAATACTTTTTACCTGCAAGGAACACTTGAAAAACAAATATGAAGGTGCCTGTTTGAAATGAGTGTGTGTGTGAACAAAGTGCACTGTGAGCACTGTGGCCCATGCGCTGCAGCTACTGACTGTTTCTACACTTAATGAGATGTAGGGACGCTGTCTTAGATATTTTTGCCATTTTGTTGTTTTTCTAAAGCACTCTTATTCTGAAAAACTGCTCTTACATATTAGTGTCAAAAATAGTATTTTAGTTTTGATATGTAAATGTTATTATGTACATGGAAAAAAAACATGTTTTTAAATTTTATTTTCTAAGTCGACTGTAGAGTGTGCATGTTTCAGATTTTGTTGTCTTAATGTAAAAGTAACTGAAAAAGTCATTAAAACACATGAAACTGCGTAACTTTCTTGGACAAGTTTTGATGGATGGATTGGATTGGATTAAAATCTAYGAGCTAATTAGCAAACACACACCTAAATAATTCATTATTTATATCAGAACATTATTAACTCATCCTATTTAAACCTGAGTTTGAAACTGGATTTTATGTTTGAACAAATATTGTAAGCTAATTATCAAATGTATTCACGCAAATGCTAATTAGTTTTAATATAAGAATAGGGGTTTATTTTCTCAACTGAACATTGTAAATTAAAAAAATGTGTTGTTTTGTATGCGTGTCAAATATATYCAATACATTTTGGAAATAACCTAAATAAATAAATTAAGCTAAAGCAAGCTATTGTAGCTTATAGCCCAGGGATATTCAACTAGCGGTCTGCAGGCCACATCCAGACTGCAGGTGACTTCAGTCCGGCCCACCAGTGAGTTCTTAGAAAATGAAGTTTTTCAATTTATCATAAAAGTAAAGATTAAATAAAAAATTTAATTGTATGATTCACTGCATCAAAAATAGATAAAAGATAATACTTGTTCTTTTACACAATGTAGTGTTTCTCCAACCAAAGTAGTAGGGGAAACACTCACTAACCTAGAGGAGCCCAAAGTGGGGCCCACAGGCCAAATTTGGCCCGCCAAATCATTTGATTTGGCCCACCAACAGTTGCCAAAGTTACAAGGTRCCTACAAAATGGTACAAGGTAGATAAAGATACAAGATACCTGCTATCCTATAGGTAGAAACACAGTACCTCTATTGGTCAAATGACTATATAAAAAGGGTTGTAGTAAAGGTAGTTTTCAGTCATGGTGCTGACTTTATCTTTSATTTATTAGGATTAAACATGAAACATGAAATGACAACAAGAAATATTTAGATCAGATTTAACCCCACATGTAGATTTGCACACTTTATAAGGCCACAAAAACTCATATTTTATCCATTTATAATGTCCCATGAGCCTTTGCTACTTGAGCATATGGCAGATTTTCTCCAAGTGCACAGACTAAAACAAAAGAGTGCCATTGAACAGCTTGATCATTAAAATACAGGACTTTACTTTTAAAAAAGTATTTGTTTTTCATGTATTATATAACTACATTTGGCCCGCAGACAGATTTTCATTTTGGCCCCCTCGGGGAAAATGTTTGGGCGCCCCTGCACTAAACCAAACCAGACTAAACTTGTGGCAGTGTGGAGAGTTAAAATTACAACCCAAAATTTGGAGAGAAAAAATAAAAAAAAATCTAATGAAAGACTGTTTATGTCATTGCGTTCTCAGGCTGCAGGCGGCGCTGTAGGAATTATCCACCTCCTGTTGGAAGCAAAGAGAATCCCCCTTTAGGACAAACAGGGAGCTGTTTTGCAGCAGACACATGGAAACCAGAGAGGTTATTGTGCCTGAGTGAAAACTTTTTATCTTTCATCCTCCCTGCAGAATGCTGACACATTAATTCAGCTTCTTTCTTTGACACAACCAAGGCCAGAGTGGTTGGGTGGGTGATGATTATTTATTAAAATAAATAAATAGACTTCTGACAGTCCTGCTCACCGCATACACACAAAGGAAGAGGCTTTAATTACATCTAGTTTGTCCAAAGTAAATGTCCCCTTCTGTCAAGAAGAAGGGAAGGTAAAAAAAAAAAAAAACTTTTCCTCTCAGTCCCCAAGGGGGTTCTGATGACAACCCCTGTGCCCCCCTAGTCCCGCCCACCCCCCTCTCTGCCCTATCTCAGACAACGCAAAGAAAACAACACAAGTCACGGAAARAAAAAAAAAAAAACATGCCAAAATAAGAAACCAAAAACCAGTTTGTTAAACTACCAGTGAGTGAGGAGGCCTGGAGGTGGTCTGAGGGTTACAAACAGCAGGAACAACAATGGAGGGGCTGTGTTTGTGAACACGCTGGATTTGAGTTTTTTTTTTTTTTAACTCAAAACAAACAAAAAAGGGACTGAAAATTTGTTTCACTTATTTTTTTAACCTTCTTGCACGGATGCGACCATCAACAAACATGTAAGTTTGGCTGCTTACGTTGACAAGCCTTTGATCTTATGAGGAGTTTGGGCAACTTTTAAAAGTTGCTGCTGGTGGAAGAGGAGGAGGGAGGGAGGTAGGTGGTGTTGTGGAGCAGAATGGCTCGAAAAAGGTGCGTGGATTAAAAAAATGTGCGCGTGAGCCGCAAACAAAGAGAAGGCATGAACAATGGCTGAGAGCAAGGGGAATGATGCGGGTGTGTACCGCAGCGTCTCTTTCAAAAAGCTGGGCTCCGGCAGCAGCTGCAGGAGGAGGGAAGAGGAGCAGAAGAAGTCGCGGGATTCGGAGGCTGTTGGCGTCAGCAGAGCTGCAGCAGGAGCGTCCCCGGCGGCGCGTAATGCGTCAAGAAAAGTTTCCAAAATCTCAGCCGCCGCCAGCCTCCCAACCGCAGACTCAAAGAGAGCCTCCTCCGCCTCTCTCCCCTCCGTGTCTCCATCCATCCGACAGCTTACTGAAAAGTTTAGCAGCAACAGCAGCGTCCTCCGGGCTCGAAGCTCCGGCAGGACACACGGGTCTCCGGCTCGTAAATCTCCCCAGGAGGAGGAGGAGGAGGACAAGGACGGCCACGCCGCGAGCGCGGAGTCTCCGCTGGACGCTAAAAAGTTTCACTCCGGCACCGATTCGGTCTCTGGCTCGGACACGGAGAGGAGAAGCGAGAGGCGGGTTTTCTGTTTGTCCGCCGACAGCGGCGGCTACCCCGGTAAGAGAGATTATTCTCAGATTAACGCGCGAGCCGTTCATCTTAAAAAGAGTTTGACCACAGACGAGGAAGAAGAGGACGTCAGAGGGGTCCCCCCGCCTTGTAAATCCCACAGAAGTTACCAACACGGTGACCTGATTATCCCCTCACATTCTGACAAGTGGCCCAGCGTGACCAAAATAAGGCAACTTTTCGATGAGAAGGGAAGCAACGCGTTGCCTCTGCACAAGACCAACACATGTGAGAGTTTAAAAGCAGCTGGCAGGAGGCATTTACAGGAGCCAGGCTGCACAGAGAATGCTCCTCTCTCGGATAGAAGTGGCAGCTCTGCTAATGAGGACCTGACTTTGCATGTGACCAGAGAGACTTCTTGTTGCGATACAGACTTTTACTCCAAAACTCATCAGTGTTCAAATGATGAGGGACTGAACATAGAAACAAACAAAGTGTCTGATGTAAACACGTTTAGTAGCAGTTGTCACACTGGTCGCTACCAAAGGATTAACTCGTCCTTATACAGATCCCGGAGTCCCAGCACTGAGTCTGAGGCAACGTGCAGGACCCCCAGAACATCAGGATCGACATCTGACCCTAAACCTGACCTTCAGCCCTGCACTACTTTGTCCAGGAGCGGATCTGCGAGCTTAGACGCCTCCTCTTGCTCCTCCTCTGAGCAGCAGCCAACAGAGAGGGGGAGAAGGGACACACAGGGGGTCGGGCTGCCCAGGGATAGTTTACATTCCTCGCATAGCTCCTCTAAAGCACCAGCCCCCACCACCTCCTCCGCCTCCTCTGCTCCAGCTCCAGATAAAGCCATTAACTCCTGCTCCTCTACTGTAGCTATTTCCTCTGAGCCAGCCACMGTTTGCACTTCTCTCAGCTCCCGTTGGAGGTTAAACTCAGCGGACGAAGAGGAGGCGCACACCAGGAGGAGAAGGGGTCATAGTTCTGACCCTAAGCCCTCTGGCACCTGCAGGGGAGGGGAGAGGACTGCCACAGAGCGAGGAGGCAGCTATTTATCCCGCAGTAAAAATGGCTGGTGGGGGGCTAATATCATTGGCAGGTCCTCGGGCAGCGAGGAGGACAGCCCCACTTCTTTAGGCCCCCACTGTCGAGAGACAGTGCGCCGCCGCTCTTTAAGAAAGAAGAAGAAGGTCAGCGGGGTCACTGTGGCAAGCCACGATGATTACAATGATCATGATGGTGAATCAGAAGACAGTGACAGTGACACAGCCTTGACAATGGATCACTTAGGGAAGCAACAGAACACTGGGGAGGTTCCAGGGAGGATTCATAGGAGCCACTCAGCACGAGAACACGGTAGTCACAGTTACAGGGCCAAGGTCCAGCACTGGGAGCGTATCACCTCACCTGTGATGCCCAGCACGCTCCCTGGTGTATCACGGGTTTCAAAAGTTAACATCCCTCCTTTTATTTCCAGTCCTGTGGGTTCACGCTGCAGTAGCCGGTACTCCAGCACAGAGACGCTGAAAGAGGAAAACCAGGGTAGCTACRTCAACCGTTCAGCCAATGTGTTCCTTAACAGAAGTGGAGCAGAAGGTGGCACAAGCAGAACTGCATCATCATCCGTGCTGAGTAAAACTTACCATGGGAATTTTACTATGTACCGTTCCCCAAGCTTTGGCCATGGGGATAATTTCTCCCGTGCCCCTTTTCGAATGCGCCCAAAATTAATGCCAACAGTAACTCCAACATTGAATGCACCTCCAGGAGACGGTGAGGGATCTTCTGAGATTAGAAGTGGTGAGGCAGGTGTATTAAAAATGAAAACATGGAGAGGTGATGAAGACAATAGTATAAAGCTTATTTCCACATCCAACCCAGATATTACATCAGAAACCATGAACCTCTTAAGCTTTCTGAAATCTGGCCTACCAGGACTCAAAGTGCGGAGAACAAATGAAGGGGACAAAAGTGGTGCTGAGGAGGGTTCAGCGTCATACAGAAAGGGATATGGCCCTCACGGAAGAACTGTTCTACCTTTGGGTCGCCGCCCTTCTTTGAAAGATCTAACTGCAACATTAAGACGCACAAAATCCTTCACTTATTCTGACAAACCAACAAGTGCCAAGTGTTACTTGACAGGTGGCACCACCAAAAGGAGCTCCTCTGAACAGCAGCTCGACTTAGATGACGATAAGGATGACGTGAGGGTGGTGTTGTCAGACAGGGAAGTAGAAAGTGATGGCGGGGATTTTAGAGTTGGGCGAGGACTAAAAACGAGACATTATGGACTGGATGATGATGAAGATGAGTACAAAGTGATGCAGACTCCATTTCAAGAGAGGTGTGTACAGGAAGCTAGGCAGGTCATTCAAGATATCTGCCAGATGTGCACAAGAGAAGACGACGATGATTATGGAAGTGTAAATTCAACTGTGGATAAATCAGAGGGTAAATCTCTACAGGTCAAGAAAACTAGTGAAGAGAAGGGAAAAGCAGGAGGCATTAAAGATGAGACGAGATCAGCTCTAGAGGCCGAGTCTGAGAATGCCAAAGACAAAGATAAACATGAGCAGGAGAGAGAGAACAGTAGGAGGCAGAGGAGTGGACAAAGTATGCAGCTGGAGAAACTAAACAGTGGGGGTACAGAGTGCTGGGAGAAGCCAAAGAGAGAGATCAGAGAGCAGGAGGGAGCTTTACAGAAGGGTGGCTTGGAGGAACGCGTGCTCTACAACCGCTCCTTGGATGAACTTTCAGGCCACGAGTCAAGTTTAACCGACGAGGGGATTGTAACGGAGCCAGAGACAGGTCCCAGTGACCTCTCGGAGAGGTCRTTCCTGGGCTCAGCAGTGGTTAATTTAGGGTCAAGATTAGGAAGGGAAGTTCTTGTGCAGCCAGTAGCTGGATGGAAGCAGTCAGCACATGATGTGGAAAGCTTCAAGCAGGAGGGAGCAACAATGACAGAGAACAGCCTGAGGTGCACAAATCGTCTGAGTAAAGGGAGTTTGCCCTGTTTGGTGACGCTTCCTGTATGCATGGCTCAGAATGACAACTTTATGGAAGTGAGCGATGCTGCTTGTATAAACACTGGCAGCGAAGGAATGCACATTAACAATGCTGTGTCACAGGGGTCAGCCACGACTGCAGGAGGAGGGGGTGGGGTATTTGAAGCCCCTGCAACTCCAGGTACTAATCGTCGGAGGCGCAAGTTCTCCCCACCTGGTAACAACAACACAAGCTCTGAGTCCAGTAATGGCAGTCATGCTGATTCAATAATAACTGCTGTGGGAAATGGGGAGTCGACAGTGTACCGTTCTCTCAGTGACCCCATGCCTCAGCGGCGCTGCTCTGCTGCGGAAGAAGGGAGCAACAACTTTAGTTCTGTGGACAGCAACCTTCTGGGTTCCTTGTCTGTCAAAGGAGGAGGGGGAGGTGCAACAGAGGCCTCCTCTACGTCTTCAGTGTCAGAATACAAAGGCAGTGTAGCAAGTGACTTATCTGTATACAGTGATGGGGGTCTCAGAGACGATGGCATCCAAGACTACAGTGGGGTGATCAGGAACATTGTAGCTGAGCCAGGTGCAATGAACAGACTGGTCACAGATGACCACAGCAACGGCAAAACCCCGAAGAAAAAGTCTTTCAGTGACCCCAGTCGTCGCAGTGATGCTCCTTTACTGTCCCAGAACGACCCTCAGTTTAAAGGGCAAACTGGCAGTCCTCAGCCAATCAGTGAGCTGGATCAATCTGGACAGATCCCTCCTTCTAGCAGTGAGCCAATCCTGAGTGAACAAAGAGAGGAATTGTGGGAATCAGAGTCTAAACCTACACAGATCCAGGTCAAGATTTCAGATTGTAGTCATCACTCTGATAACCCAGAAGATGAAGATAATGTTATTTGCCATGGTGGAGAGGAGGAGGTGCAGAAGTTTAATTTTGACATTAGGCTAGCCGAGGTCTTTTCTCCTCGGAAGGTACGCCGACCGACTAGAAAACGCCCCAATAGGTTGGCGTTTTGTCCTGATGAGGACCAGTTTGAACCTCTCGAATTGGACTCAGATGTGCAGGAGGAGCCCCGCAACCAAAGCAGGCTTGTGTCCTCTCCCCCGTTTTTATCACCAAAATCAAAACCCCAACCCAAGCATGTTCGCCATGCCAGTGAGCCTGCCACCTTCATCCCCATTTCCCCACCTCCACAACTCCAACCGCTGAAGGAAGTGGACTCCTTCACAGTCCAGTCTACCGTAGAGCCGCTGATTTTAAGCGAACAAACAGGAGATGTGGCCTCACCTTTTGAGGACATGACAAAGAAACATATTCCTGGACCCCACACAACGAATGCAGAGGCCAGTTCTGTTCGGGGATCGAGTGGTGAAGCCCAAGGTTTATTGACTACTTCAGAGGGCCCCAGTGAAATCAGCAACATTGGACTTACCGAATCTGCACCTCAGAAAGGAGTTGCAGAGGACTCTCCACCTGTTCCAGCTCCACAGAGTACTAAACCAAAAGTGGTGAGTTTTGATTTTTTTTTTCTGGATTTTAAATGTCCTTATTGTGTTTACTGCTGTGTGTTCTTGTGCTGTTACATGACTTTGAATCCTGATGGTTCAGTTTCCAATTCTTTAAATACAGCTGTTTTGGTCCCTATGACTTCATTTGCACCACTCAATGCTTGTGTATATTTGCACTGACTCAAAACCTGTGACGTTTATTTCAGTGTGTTTGGGTGCAGGGCTACAATACAGAAGCCATTAAGGGCTGAACAGTGTTAAACAAACAGAGGATGTTATTAGTCTGATTAAACAGAACTCACTCAAAGAACATTAAGGGACAGACTGAGACCAAGTGTTTGTTTCCATTCATTTGTTTTATCTAGTGTCCATTGTGGTTTTGCCAGAGTTGGAGTCATAGAGAGGGTTAATACAATAAACAGTTCACTCGAATACAGTCTGTGAGTGTCATGATGCAACAAGGCTTTCTTTGCATAGTAGGAAGTAAGGTTGAGGTTGTAAAAATTGTGTAATATTTGGATTACAGTTGATAAATGCATATTGTATAGGTAACTAATGGGTACATCAGATTCATGTTATCTGGTCAAATAAAAAGATTTTTGGCYCAACTGAAGTGTTACTAATTGAGGAAAAACAAAACAAAAAACAACAACACAGTGAGCTTATCACAGAAACATATATGCAACATCTAGGGCTTTGGTTTCATCACACCATGAATGCTCTTTATTGATACTTCTCTGTTTTGTTTCTGGTGTTGAGGCCTGAAGTCATTACTTTCGATTTGTTACCCCCGTGTATCTGAGCCACGTTGTTCTGATCTGCCGAAAACAAACACTTGTTTCATCTGCTGTTCCTTGACATTTGGGATCGTCTCAAGATGCTTTGCAGCTTGTAAATATCATTTCCATCTCTGGTATTCATTAGCTGTTCCTCCTTGTAGCTGTAGCGATTGGAGCAGTAACTGGCCAGCGACCTCTCCAAGCAGGAAATGGATTTAGGGAAATAGGAAGTTGTTGTGGTAACTGAACAGTTTGATGAAGTCCAGCCCTGCTGGCTGGTGGTTGTGTGCGAGTGCTCATTTGGTGGCGTGTGTGTGTGTGTGTGTGTGTGTGTGTGTGTGTGTGTGTGTGTGTGTGTG